ATTGCCATCTATATATCCAGATTTAGTTTAACTTTCTTCTTTGAATGAGCTTGTTGTAATGTTGCTATAGAAAACGGGCAGTTTTTGCTATAGTGCTAAAATCATTTGCCGAACAAAGTTTGGGTTACGAAAAATTAAGGCAAAGGCTGGAAACTTGAAAACAGAGAATAAATGTTTGCCTTAGAGAGCTGTTCGCTTGTAGAGCCTTCACTGTAGTTCAATAAAAGTGTTTGATTCAGAAATCGGAAGCCCCCTTTCAGACAGTGTAAAACTGTAAATTCAACTATCTGATGATAATATTTTTCCGCGAAAAAGGCTTATCGAGCAGACTATGCGAAACTCGTGACGATTTCGTAATGCGTCTGCGGGTTGAGGGTTCAAATTCAAAAGCCTCCCATTCATTATGTCCAGATATCTTTAAGAGAAAGTTGTTGAAGAGAAAGTTCTTTGAGTGACAGTAAAGTCTCATAGAGAAAACTCTTTACGTTAGCTTAAATAAGATAGCTTACATCTCAGTAAATCTTCTGAATTTATCGTTTATCGTTTTTCTTTATCGTTTTATCGTTATCAACTGAGTAACTCTACACTTTTCTACCAATAATCTAAATATATATCTTGGCTGTGAATCCTCCAAAGAAACCTTTAATTTACGTTACGTTCTTCGATCGGGCATAAATCATGATAGAAGGAAAAGTAAAGAAACGTTATCTTTATAATGCGCAAGTGTTGAAAAATTATGAAAACAGTGCTCAAAAATTAACAGTTGTGCGAGTCTCTCTCTCTCTCTCTCTCTCTGTGTGCGTGTGTGTGTGCCCAACAAATTGTGCCTAATTTTAAAACAAGATAAAACAAAAAATCGTACAAACTAAAAATAACGGTACTTATCAGCTGACAAACTAGATGAATTGGCCAGGTGAAAATTGAAATGAAATGGAAGAGGGGCAAAAGGGGCAAAACAAAATAATGGCAAAATTTAACATAAACACAAAGGCAAAAGGCAATGCGAAATAATCAATTTTTATGAGCAATTATTAAAAATAGCTGGCAACACGAGACGTCGAGCGGCAAGAGAAGCAAAGAGAGTGAAGGGAGGGAGAGGGAGAGAGGGGCGGCGAGGGGGAGGGGGAGGGGGACTGCAACAAGTCGGTGGCCTTTGAAGTGCAGGGCGGCTTCTTTAACATCGAGTGCGAGACTCGACAATTGCTTGCTGACATGCAAAGTACATAATGTTGTAGACCCTCCCTTCCCCACCCCCCTCCTTTCAATACCCGCCCGCCCGCACACCCCTTCTCGGGCTCAACAAACGCACTTGATTGATAACAATCAAAGTTATGATGGACCCGTACGGGCACTTTGCCAAAGAGCGCAATTTGCGCTGTCGATTGATTTGTTTACAACTGCCATTAATGTTACGGACACCTCCACCGCCCCCTTCCCCACCTTAAATAAAGACCCCCCCCTCTCCCCCTCTACATGCTTGCAACAGGTGTATGTAAATGCCGCCGTCTCCGTCTGCTCCGCTTTTGAACAGCATTTCCATAGACAGCTCGATCAACAGCGCTGCACTTTCGCTTATCTAATCAGACTATTGTTTGACTACACTGTAAAAAAATATGGTTGATTTGAATTTGAAGACAGAGTGAAATTTATAATGGTGCAAGTCCGTGTAAGATTTATTGATAGGTAAAAAATTTGTGCAAGCAAGCAGCAACAGAAAGAGAGACTAATTCCTAGAGAAATAGACAGACGAACGAACAGGCTTGGCTATATCTTGTCGACTCTTGATGCTGATCTGGAATATATATATAAACTTTATGGGCTCGGAGAAGTATCTTTTTATGCGCTTCACATTTCATGACCCTTTGCAGGGGCATCAAACTGAACAGAAATGATTTTAAGCTGAAAACTTCATAAATCACAATTGAAAACTTTTTCCAAACTCAATCTAAATCATAATTTTTTGCAGTGTATAACCCAGCCAGCGTCTAGTTGGGCTCTTCGTGTCGCTGCGTTTCAAAGTCGAAGACGCCGAATTGTTGCTGTAGTTGAATTTTCCGATTTTCCTTTGATTTGAACGCTCTGCCACAAATTTTATACATATTATACACACACACACACACACGCACACACACACACACACACGCACACACACACATGCATATGCATAGGTCTATATCTCTTGGACTTGTTATCGGTTCGACTTCAATTTGTTTTCAATTTACAACAATAACGTTTTAAGTATTTGTAAATATGATTTGTCACCTCACTTTTTGTTTGCATAATATACCATGTTATTGGCGCTTTTTTTCCCTATTCATTTTCCTCCTCTTCTTCTTTTTTTCAATTTTTTTTATGATACGCGGCGCACTTTAACAATTTATTGAGCTGTTTTCAACTTTGTTGCGCATTTGATTATTAATGGTCTTTTTTTTATGACAATTAATAAAGAAATGTGATTGAAATTCAGTTAGGTTTGATTTTGAGTAAAACAAAAAACTGAAGTCTTTTTTTTTTGAGAATTCCTTAGTACAAAATTGTGCTTCCATTGTGAACGACTTCTTTTAAGCAAGTAAATTCTTAAGCTACGCTTTTTTCGTTTACTTTTTAACTCCAACTATTTCTGCATAATTCTTGAATCAAGTCTTAAAACTAAAACTAGTTCAGAAAACGAGAAATTGTGTGACTTGATTGAGAATCGCTTGTTTGAAGTGTGTAAAGTCTTAAAATGGCTTTTTTCATGCCAGCTAAACTTTTTTTTTCACATTTTTGCTGCAAAAATGTAACATAAAGTTCTTAAAACCAAAACTGGTTCTTAAGCTTAGAAACTTTCTGCTTCCATTATGTAGGTTGTCGGCTTATTTTAAGCACGCAAATTCTTAATATAATGATATGTTAGCCATAAGCCATACTTTTAATTAGAAAGCTCTGGAATTTCTGGAGAATTAAAGATCAGCCTCTTTTCATTAACAACATCTTGAATTGAGTTCATTTCAAGCATATATAAGCTAAGTTTAAGCTGACAAATTCTGGCTAAAAGTTAAGCAAATATTCCAAAATATGTATGCATCACGTCTTTGTAAGCACTCACAGAAGGGAATAAATATATATATATATATATCAAAATATTTATCTACAATCAATTTTGATTCTCGGAAAAATATTTTTCCATTTAAGTATGTTTGTGATTCTATGCAACCTGTTCCTGCTGATAATATTTACGATATCATTTGGTTAAAGCTCTATGCAAACTTCCGCCTTGAAATTCGCAGTAAATAATTATAGTGGAAACCATTCAGAAATGCGAGTGCAACGTGAGCCGTAAACATTCGTGAGTTACTCACAGTTATTCACAGTTCTTCACGTTGGGTCACGTGAATAGGGAAGGAATAACCCATCGGGGTTTCGGCTGGTCAGTTACACGCGAAGCCATGCAATGAGGCGACAAGTGCTCCGACAGCAAATCAATTACTTTTCTTATCGCCACGTTAAAATCGCCAGCCAGAAATGATAGAGTAGACACTTCACAAGTGCTGGAAAACGTGGAGAAAGAGTTTGGGCGAAAGAAAGGCGGAAGATAAAGAGAGCGAAGACTAGCTACACTCAGCGAAAAAACAAAGACTTCTCTGATGTAGATTAAGAGATTAAGAGAGCAGGCTGCACTCGGTGAAATAGTCAAGACTTGTGGACTTTAATCAGGCACAAGCTTTGTCAGAATACAGTTAATACATTTATTTTAAAATGAGCACAAAATTCTTAATTTAAGAATATATTTTTATTATGATGAGAGGGAAGGAACGGGAGAAAGAGCTGCGCGCTCTCAGAGAAAATATAGGGCAAAGAAAACCAAGTTAAAAAAGTCTTGAATTAAGCACGAAATTCTTAATTTAAGAATTTATTTTTTTTTCATTTCGAATGAGACGACGCAAGGTTGGGAGGGCGTGAGAGGGAAGGTGTTGCCCAGCCTCAGAGAACCCAACGGGTCTTCTTTTCAAACTAAAGCCAAATGTGCAGTTTCTTAAATTAAATGCGAAAGTCTTTATATAAGAATTTCCTTTTTTAATTGCGAGAGATGGCTTGAGGTTGGGAGGGCTACGAGGGAAGGGTTTTTCCCAGACCCAGGAAAAAAACAAAGCATTTTATTTTGAAAATGAAATCAAGTGTAAAATTTCTTAACTCAAGCAAAAAACTCTTTCTTTAAGCGGGCAATTTCTAGGAAATTGAACATGTTTCATGCTTATTTCAAACAAGTTTTTTATAAGTTTATTTACATTATTTTTGTTGCACCAGAGTTGAAAATGAGTACAAAATATGCCCAAAATCTTAAGGAATTCTGTGAAAACTTCAAGAGCTCTATAAAGTCCTTGCGGAATTTGTAAATTTTCTGCGAGTGTAGCAGTTGTTAACAGGAGGGTTGCAACTGTTTTTAATAACAACATTTTAAAAAGCACTTAACAGCAAATTAAGCTTTCAGCGGGCAACTGACAACGCCAGCAGCAACAGCAGCAGCAGCAGCAAAAAGAAGACATTTTTAATTATCAACCATTTACAGGCAGCAGCAGCAGCAGCAACAGCAACAATTGCCGGTGGAAAAAATTGCCGCTGGTGCATGGGTCAATATCATAATCTGAGGCAGCAACAAGTCGCGCCAGGCGGCAAGGGGCAGCAACGGGCGTCATAAATCAAAGCGACGCAATTTGCTGCTGACGAACTGCGCGAAACGGCAACAGCAGCAATGCCTTTGCTGCTGGCAACACTTGGGCAGCAACAGCTGCAAGCACAGCAACAGCAACAGCAACAACAGCAACAGCAGCAGCACAATAATTCCCATCGTCAACACTTGGAGCCAACGGCAGCGGCGGCAGCAGCAGCAGCAATGTTGTTGCTGGAAACAGCAGCAGCAGCAACAACAACAACAGCAGCAGCAGCAACTAGCACGCCAATCATTGCTGCTGCAGCACTTGCAACAGCTTCATTGCCAGCAACAGCAACAATAACAACAACAACAACAACACCAACAACAACACCAACAACAACACCTGCAACAACAGCAACAACAACAGGTGTTAATGTTCAAATTACTGGCAAAGGCGTTGCACGCTGCGAGTCTTCAGTCAACGATCAACAGCCGCAAGTCGCAAATGTGGCCGCATCTGTTAATTATGCCGCTTACGTAGCCCATTTGAATGGCTTTAGCCCAAAGCACAACAGCAACAACAACAACAAAAACAACAACAACAACCAGAGTCCACCCCCATTTGAAAGCCTGCTCGAAAGACAGCCGCACATTCAAGTCAAGCAGGAGTTCATAGAGCCAATGGAGCAGCGCAGCTTAAATGGCAACAATGCCAGCAACAAGCATGCAGGTCAGTCTATAAAGTATTTTTTTAATACCAAACTTTAATACCAAACTTATATATGCATACATATATAAGTATATATAAGCCCATGATTGATTTATTCAAATGCAGCAGCAGCAATTGTTTGAAAACTAGAGCTAAAAATGTTTCATAATCTTGACTTTGGGAAATTCCATTTAAGAGCAACAGATATTTCTTTAAACAAATATTAATATAATTAACATACATACAGATAGGGTATATTTAAACGCCTCAAGTTGACAAAGTTCATTTTCATAAGAAGTATCAAATTTATATAGTATTTTATTGAAAATATTATTAATTTCTATACCAGATATAAAGAGTTAGTATCAAATGTTTAGATTACTTACAAAACAAAAACGTTTCCAATACATGAAATGTTTTTCTCTAAATATAAATCGGCAGGGTGGGAAATGTTGACCTATGTAGACCTATAGAAAATTTGAGGCCACATTTTTCAATTAAATTTCAATTTAAATTTTGGCCCATGTCTACATGAGATTTGGACATGAATTTCGACCAAAAAATGGGTGTTCGGATTTTAATGCCAGATTAATAAAGAGGGAAAACCATGAATAAAAAGCCAAACCTCGTGAAAATCTGATGAGATTTGACCGAGTTATGGAGAAGGGAATTTTTAACCCATGTCTCTATACGAATCTCGGGGTAAGATTTGGACATGAATTTCGACCAAAAAATGGGTGTTCAGATTTTAATGCCAGATTAATAAAGAGAGAAAACCATGAATAAAAAGCCAAACCTCGTGAAAATCTGATGAGATTTGACCGAGTTATGGAGATGGGAAATTTTGACCCATTTCTATATACGAATCTTGGGGTAGGATTTGGACATGAATTTCGACCAAAAAATAGGTATTCAGATGTTAATGCCAGATTATTTAAGAGGGAAAACCATGGATAAAAAGCCAAACCTCGTGGAAATCGGATGAGATTTGACCGAGTTATGGAGAAGGGAATTTTTAACCCATGTCTCTATACGAATCTCGGGGTAAGATTTGGACATGAATTTCGACCAAAAAATGGGTGTTCGGATTTCAATGCCAGATTAATAAAGAGGGAAAACCATGAATAAAAAGCCAAACCTCGTGAAAATCTGATGAGATTTGACCGAGTTATGGGGATTTGAAATTACGACCCATGTCAATATACGAATCTCGGGGTAAGATTTGGACATGAATTTCGACCAAAAAATGGGTGTTCGGATTTCAATGCCAGATTATTTTAGAGGGAAAATCATGAATAAAAAGCCAAACCTCGTGAAAATCTGATGAGATTTGACCGAGTTATGAAGATTTGAAATTACGACCCATGTCAATATACGAATCTCGGGGTAAGATTTGGACATGAATTTTGAGCAAAAAATAGGTATTCAGGTTTTAATGGCAGATTAATATAGAGGGAAAGCCATGAATAAAAAGCCAAACCTCGTGAAAATCTGATGAGATTTGACCGAGTTATGGAGATGGGAAATTTTGAACCATTTCTATATACGAATCTTGGGGTAGGATTTGGACATGAATTTCGACCAAAAAATAGGTATTCAGATGTTAATGCCAGATTATTTAAGAGGGAAAATCATGGATAAAAAGCCAAACCTCGTGAAAATCTGATGAGATTTAACCGAGTTATGAAGATTTGAAATTACGACCCATGTCAATATACGAATCTCGGGGTAAGATTTGGACATGAATTTTGAGCAAAAAATAGGTATTCAGGTTTTAATGGCAGATTAATATAGAGGGAAAGCCATGAATAAAAATCCTAACCTCGTGAAAATCTGATGAGATTTGACCGAGTTATGGAGAAGGGAATTTTTAACCCATGTCTCTATACGAAATTCATGTCATGTTCATGGGTAAGATTTGGACATGAAATTCGACCAAAAAATAGGTGTTCAGATTTTAATGCCAGATCAATCTAGAGGGAAAACCATGAATAAAAAACCAAACCTCGTGGAATTCGGATGAGATTTGGCCGAGTTATGGAGATGGGAAATGTTGACCCATGTCTATATACGAATCTTGGGGTAAGATTTGGACATGAATTTCGACCAAAAAATAGGTATTCAGATATTAATGCCAGATTATTTTCGAGGGAAAATCATGGATAAAAAACCAAACCTCGTGGAATTCGGATGAGATTTGGCCGAGTTATGGAGATGGGAAATGTTGACCCATGTCTATATACGAATCTTGGGGTAAGATTTGGACATGAATTTCGACCAAAAAATAGGTATTCAGGTTTTAATGCCAGATTTATTTAGAGGGAAAACCATGAATAAAAAACCAAACCTCGTGGAATTCGGATGAGATTTGGCCGAGTTATGGAGAAGGGAATTCTTAACCCATGTCTCTATACGAAATTCATGTCATGTTCATGGGTAAGATTTGGACATGAATTTCGACCAAAAAATAGGTATTCAGGTTTTAATGCCAGATTTATTTAGAGGGAAAACCATGAATAAAAAACCAAACCTCGTGGAATTCGGTTGAGATTTGGCCGAGTTATGGAGAAGGGAATTTTTAACCCATGTCTCTATACGAAATTCATGTCATGTTCATGGGTAAGATTTGAACATGAAATTCGACGAAAAAATAGGTGTTCAGATTTTAATGCCAGATCAATCTAGAGGGAAAACCATTAATAAAAAGCCAAGCCTCGTGGAAATCTGATGAGATTTGATTGAGTTATGGGGATTTGAAATTACGACCCATGTCAATATACGAATCTCGGGGTAAGATTTGGACATGAAATTCGACCAAAAAATAGGTGTTCAGATTTTAATGCCAGATCAATCTAGAGGGAAAACCATGAATAAAAAACCAAACCTCGTGGAATTCGGATGAGATTTGGCCGAGTTATGGAGATGGGAAATGTTGACCCATGTCTATATACGAATCTTGGGGTAAGATTTGGACATGAATTTCGACCAAAAAATAGGTATTCAGATATTAATGCCAGATTATTTTCGAGGGAAAATCATGGATAAAAAACCAAACCTCGTGGAATTCGGATGAGATTTGGCCGAGTTATGGAGATGGGAAATGTTGACCCATGTCTATATACGAATCTTGGGGTAAGATTTGGACATGAATTTCGACCAAAAAATAGGTATTCAGGTTTTAATGCCAGATTTATTTAGAGGGAAAACCATGAATAAAAAACCAAACCTCGTGGAATTCGGATGAGATTTGGCCGAGTTATGGAGAAGGGAATTCTTAACCCATGTCTCTATACGAAATTCATGTCATGTTCATGGGTAAGATTTGGACATGAATTTCGACCAAAAAATAGGTATTCAGGTTTTAATGCCAGATTTATTTAGAGGGAAAACCATGAATAAAAAACCAAACCTCGTGGAATTCGGTTGAGATTTGGCCGAGTTATGGAGAAGGGAATTTTTAACCCATGTCTCTATACGAATCTCGGGGTAAGATTTGGACATGAATTTCGACCGAAAAATGGGTGTTCAGATTTTAATGCCAGATTAATAAAGAGAGAAAACCAAGAATAAAAAGCCAAACCTCGTGAAAATCTGTTGAGATTTGACCGAGTTATGGGGATTTGAAATTACGACCCATGTCAATATACGAATCTCAGGGTAAGATTTTGACATGAATTTCGACCAAAAAATGGGTGTTCGGATTTCAATGCCAGATTAATAAAGAGGGAAAACCATGAATAAAAAGCCAAACCTCGTGAAAATCTGATGAGATTTGACCGAGTTATGGAGATGGGAAATTTTGACCCATGTCTACATACGAATCTTGGGGTAGGATTTGGACATGAATTTCGACCAAAAAATAGGTATTCAGGTTTTAATGGCAGATTAATAAAGAGGGAAAACCATGAATAAAAAGCCAAACCTCGTGAAAATCTGATGAGATTTGACCGAGTTATGGGGATTTGAAATTACGACCCATGTCAATATACGAATCTCGGGGTAAGATTTGGACATGAATTTCGACCAAAAAATGGGTGTTCGGATTTTAATGCCAGATTAATATAGAGGGAAAACCATGAATAAAAAGCCAAACCTCGTGAAAATCTGATGAGATTTGACCGAGTAATGGAGATGGGAAATTTTGACCCATGTCTACATACGAATCTTGGGGTAGGATTTGGACATGAATTTCGACCAAAAAATAGCTATTCAGATATTAATGCCAGATTATTTTAGAGGGAAAATCATGAATAAAAAGCCAAACCTCGTGAAAATCTGATGAGATTTGACCGAGTTATGAAGATTTGAAATTACGACCCATGTCAATATACATCTCGGGGTAAGATTTGGACATGAATTTCGACCGAAAAATGGGTGTTCAGATTTTAATGCCAGATTAATAAAGAGAGAAAACCATGAATAAAAAGCCAAACTTCGTGAAAATCTGATGAGATTTGACCGAGTTATGGAGATGGGAAATTTTGACCCATGTCTACATACGAATCTTGGGGTAGGATTTGGACATGAATTTCGACCAAAAAATAGGTATTCAGGTTTTAATGCCAGATTAATAAAGAGGGAAAACCATGAATAAAAAGCCAAACCTCGTGAAAATCTGTTGAGATTTGACCGAGTTATGGGGATTTGAAATTACGACCCATGTCAATATACGAATCTCAGGGTAAGATTTTGACATGAATTTCGACCAAAAAATGGGTGTTCGGATTTCAATGCCAGATTAATAAAGAGGGAAAACCATGAATAAAGAGCCAAACCTCGTGAAAATCTGATGAGATTTGACCGAGTTATGGAGATGGGAAATTTTGACCCATGTCTACATACGAATCTTGGGGTAGGATTTGGACATGAATTTCGACCAAAAAATAGGTATTCAGGCTTTAATGGCAGATTAATAAAGAGGGAAAACCATGAATAAAAAGCCAAACCTCGTGAAAATCTGATGAGATTTGACCGAGTTATGGGGATTTGAAATTACGACCCATGTCAATATACGAATCTCG